TCTCTGACTGACAGATAGCAAGCATCACACTGAGCTAACATATCTCGATTTACTTTCATCCTTGTCACTCAACTAGAAATCAGTTCTAAAAGACAGTTGTTAAAGTCACTGTATGAAAAAAACACAGTGCAAGCTGATGGACTTGGTTTGGTGAGGGGAGGCAGTCTTGAAGCATACTCATTTCACACAGCCATTACAGACAGAACTTCTTGCTCGTCAGGCAACTTTTGACAATCAATATTCTAGAGAACGCAATTTCTTTTTCCTGTATAACTCACTGAAAACTGAGTGGTGGAGAGAGATGCTATTTCTCACTTGTCTGGCTGAATTTCACTGCAGCTTAGTAGCAGCATTACTTTTCAAAGGCTGTTTGATCATCATCACCTTGATTCCTAGTTCCCACAGAACAGATATTCATATCAAACAGGGCCACAGGGAGAAGCTCTGAAGAATGCCGCATTGCCTGTGTTTAGTTAACTAGCTCAAGAGATGCTGGTCAACGAAGCTCCGTGTTACCATACAATTTCTTTTCAACATGAAGCATTTTGAGTGGCTCATCTAGATGCTTTGCCTCTCTAATCTTGCGTCAACTCACTTTGAATATTTAGAAAGCTATAGATTCAGAGTACAAAGATGCTTTCATTCAATCCAAACCTTTTTATTATATATAAAACCCTCAGTGTTAAAGTAGGTTAATTTGAATACAGTTTGAACCATATCATTTTCTAAAAAGATAAAGAAAATACAGAGGCTGCCAAAACATCTAAACATACTTCAAGACTTAAAAAAAAAAAAAAACTCCAATCCTGCAGACCTTTTATGTCATTTAATTTTAAATGAATATAAACTTTACAATGACTGTGTCCTTCCATTTTAACTTCATCCAATCAAAAGTAGCTGTTACCATTAGCAAAGATCTTCAAGGCATCACCTGAATTTGCTGTTTGCTTGGCACTGCTGCTATGAATCCCAGAGGCTGGGAGACTCAGCAGGACTGACAGCTACCTCGAGTTAAACTGCATAATTTATTCCATTTTCTGAATTAGCCCATTAATGCAACGAAACATTTTTCTACCAGTGACACACGAAACTCAGTGACAACAGAATTCCCAAGACCCTGATTTTTAAAAAAGCTTTCAAGAACATTTTCTGAAGTCATGTCTCACATTCCCCACTGAAGAGCAAAGACAGCAAAGGAATAAGTATGCACCTAAGAAAGAGCTAATATATATATATTTGATTTCAAAAAACGTTCTATTCATCTACATGGGGACATTTTATTCACCAAGCATGACAAAACATACGCTACCACTGCTCTACAGGATGAAAGCCTAGCATCAAGTAGTATACGATAAATAGCATTGTAATAGAGGTATACAAATTCCAGATCTTCAAAATACAAGTCCATTATTAGCATATCATGAGGAAGGAACGCTGCTTCAAAGTACATAACTGAAGAGATGAGATGTGTCTGCCTTTAGTGCATCTGAAGGATAAGAAGCGGGAGGAACAACGGGTTACAGTATAAAGGTAATAGCCAGCCCTGCATGACAAGCTCATTCTTCATTTCCACAGCACACAACTCCTTATTTCCTTAATACATGCAGTTAAAGCAGAGGTTACATTTACAGAACTACTTCAAGAACAAGAATTTTTCCCCTCCTACCATCTCCTACATTAAAGAGGGCCACTTGCCAATGACAGCAATGGAAGAAGGGACAGCATTACATACTTGATTTCCAAGGTTCACTTCTGCTGCCTGACAAGCTGTACACAAAACGTGGAGTGTTGACAATGTAGTCCTTGCAAACACACATACCCACCTCAGCTTGCTTTCATCACTTTAGAGCAGGGGGCACGGGACTTAATCCCTGATTCCACATTGCACACACTACCCATATCAAAAAGCATCAGAAATACTGACCAAATTCCATAGCAAAACTCACACCAAACCGATTTCTTACAGGTAGTCATGTCCACATGAGTAAACCTGTAAAAACTGTAGGCTTTTGGTTTAGTCACAGAAGAGCAAACCAAAGATAAGAACTACACACAGCTGCTTTCAACTGCCAAATGTTTGCAAAGACTATGATGCTATAAGAGACATAGCCCTTGTCAACTGACATTCAGAATTCCCTGACTTTACTCCTCAACGCCTTTGCGTTGTTTACATCCCTCTGTTATAAAGACTTCCAGCCTTGCCAAAATTTACCTTAACATCAACTTACACCAAGCTTTGCTGGTTTTCTTCAGAATTTAGTTCTAAACACAACTTCATATCAAAGGGTGGAGGAGTAGGGATGGGGAAGAACTGCTTTCATCCACAAACTAAGGTATGTTCTCCAAATTTGTCAATAATGAACATGCAGTGGTATCATGGCAATTAGATTGGTTCTTTCCCAGTATGAACTTTTTAGGTCATTTCAGTTCCAGCAGTTCACAGGCTCTTCAATCTTCTGTTAAACTTCCAGACTGGAATCTCTCAGTGTGGGGAGATGTTCATTTAAATTTGCATTTATAAATAGGTACCATAAAGTTTTTGTATTTTTCATGCAGCTTTCCTAACAGCCGGTACAAAAAAGTGCGCAGTCCTGAATACCCTTAATCTCCAGCTGAGTATCTACAGGGACTACTGCCAGCCCTTCTCCTACAGCTTCTTATTCCAGCAGCTGATTGATTGCATCCGCTTCACTTTAGTTGTTCTTGGTTGCTTTCTTGATTTCTCTTCATCACTCTTCCTGAACAGCCACTCCACACTTTCCTAATCAATCCATCATTTTTGCCACTGTATACAGTGTTAGAAGTAAATGGTAAAGAACTACTTCTACATTCCCCATCAGCTGCTGGTTTGGCTTGACAGGCATACAGAGGATTTCCCCACACACACACCCTTTAGACTTTTCTAGTTGGTCACTGCAAGAAGTAGTTTTTCCCTTGAATAAAATACCAGAACTTGTGCATGGCACTGCCAAGTCATGACTGATTTCCTCCTACCTGGGCCTTCACTTGCTGTTTCCAGAGTCTCATTTAGGTTGTACCAGTTGCCCTCCACATGTCCCAGTACACAGAGTAAAAGTTCTCACCCGCAAGAAGACTTAAACACTAAATTTTTTACTGTTTTAGCTCAGACAGGCAGTTCTTACTCTTGAAACCTCCAAAGTGAGGGCAACATTTAAGGGAAATAGTGTGAAATGCATGAAATAACAGTCACATTAATACACATATTTAACTGTACTGATCAGCTGAAATGCAGAAGCATTTCAGCAGTCTGTCCCCCTAGAAGTCCACTATTCCACATGGCTTACTTACAACAAACACAGCAAAGATAACAAGCAATTGTGGATATTTCTCTCTAGAATGTACAGCATAACAAAAGCTTCAAGTAGCAGTGTTTTAGCACAACTTTTGCCTTCCAGCATTTTTTTGAAGTGTACTGGTACTAACAGAAAGAATGCAGGAGCAGCTACAAGAAAATGAATTCACCAGTGCCATGATTCAATACCTGCATATTAGACACTGACATTTGGCTTATGTGAAGTGTAACAGCAATTGCAATGTGAATCCACACCTTGTCACATTCAGCAGCCCAAGTAATATAAGACCTGTGAATTTCAGCACATTATACAGAATCTGAGAGTGGTTCAAATACAGGCAGCCTAGTCTAGAATGGCTAAAGAGCTTCCCAGTTAAACCACATGATATACTGCATCTCCCCATGTATCACACAGAAAAGTCAGGTAATCCATTTTTATGTAGCCTTTTTTAATAGATGGACAGGTTTCATGGTATTCTAAGATACAAAACAGCTACTCTAATGGGAGAAAGAGGTTTATGGATACTGTTGGAATACAACTACTAATCGCTGTTGAAGAGTTCATCAACCTCTGACATTTTCACTTCAAAAGTCATTCAAGATGCTTTTTAAGAGTAGACGATAACATTAGTTGTTTATGACATCTGCAAATCTCTCACTCCTCCAGATTGTGCTAAGAAGTGCTACAGCTTTCCCATTTTATTAATAACAGATGATTAGTTCCAGGCCTCACTTCACCTGAAGTATTACCATAAAGACCACATTCACCTGCAGCCCCACTATTACTCTACACACCTGTTCACACAGGCCACTATTAGTCCTTAATGATATCAAAAGGGTTAGAAAACTAGTCCTGTATCTGCAGAAGCAGGAAACACTTTAGTTCCCATAGTCAGATCCTCCTCCAAAACACACAAGCTTCAGCCAAGCAGGATATCAAGACACAGAAAGAAAAAGAAGAGGTAACCAGCTCAAAAGTCATCCCTCTTCTTTCACACCCTTACATCAATGAAAGGCAACTAGACTAAGAACAAGGCACTGTTACAGAACACAGAATTCTACAAGTGAATCAGATTCCCATTTTGGGTCAGCCTTCACTGAAGTAGTTAGACAACTCTACTGCTGCTGATCATAACCACGATAATGCTGAAGGGTAATTAATCCAGACTTGGCTCATGTTCCTCAGCCCAAGAAAGCTGACAGGACCATAAGACAGGCTTCAAATACAACCTTCTCCCACATCTGCATTTTCAGAAAACAGCACAACCTGCACACTATCCCTCTGCTTTTCAGCCACCTATAAGAGCACCACTATTTTGCCTGGTTCCCCATATTACTACACTTGTAAGTTTCGAAGGCAAAATTCATCAGGCATGGCTGACTGCTGGACTATCTGGGAAGTAAGACCCATGTCCACCATAGCTATTTTACACATGTAAGGGTAACATTGACGTGCTGCTGTGACTCTTTCTTGGGATACCTGATGAGCTAGTGAATACCAGTGAGGCTTTAAGAAGTTTTGCTGGGGTTTCCCCCCCCCCCCATTCCTGAAGTGCTCTTTTCCTCGTGTTAGGCTGACACTGTTAGCAGTAAGACAGGTCCTAAGCCTTGCCCCTCCCTGAAAAGGAACTTCAGATTGAGAAAACAGAATAGTTTATATTTAAAGAGATTCTCATGATTTACTCACCATCACCTTCACTCTTACTTTTTAAGTCTTCCAGCCATGTTGGAATAGTTTTCAGTGCAACATACTCCCTTAAGTACTCTTTGCGTCTTTCTTCCAAGGTCATCTTCAGCAGGCGCTCTGTTTAGGGAAAAGAGAAAGAAGAGAAGTTTTGCAAGCTTTCATGTATTCTTGCACATTAGCCAAGTAGTGACCAACTCAGCAACCCTGATGCAATTAAATACCACTTGAGAGAATCAAGCACGGGCGATTCAATGAGTTACAACTAAAGCTAAACACAGTGCATGTGAACAACTGCATGCACCTATTTCTGGATATCCCAGTTCAGCAAAAAAAAACGTCTTTTCACTACCCTCTCAGCTATCCTGACTTCCTCCTCACATCACTCTTGTACCTCTTCTTCCTGACGCTAGTTCAAGGATAAGAGAACAGCAAGTTTATTAAACTGTTTTACAGAGCATTTTCAGGTAATAAATTCTGTTCTTCAGTTTTTGCAGATATAAGCTAAAACTTTAAAACAAAAAAGGTAGGAAGATCTAAATTAAAACATTTTTAACTTAAATGCTACCAATGCCAGCAAGTAAAGGCATAGTACAAAATTAACAAAGTGCTACTACATTACAAAAGAAATCAGAGCTAGAGCAAATGTTCTGTCACTTTGTAGATGGCTGGGGTAATAAGAAAGGTGGTTTCATTTGGTTGTTTTTTTTCTGTTCTGCACATATTGTAATTCTCAGCATGAGAAAACTGCTGTCATTTGATTTAGAAACATCCAGTGGCATTTAAACCCATTCTGAGCCAAAATTCAGTAGCTGCAGAAAATAGTAGTGTATCTGTTAAATACCCAAGAGTAAGCAACACACGTATGCAAGTGTGACAAACCCTGGCTGAACATAACCCCAAGTGTTAGGACAGACCATTGCCATCCACTGGCTAAACATGTTTCTAAAAAGCAGACCAGGACCAGCAATAAGCTGCATCTGCTGGGTTTAAAGTGCTGCAAAACTGAACGTAGGTTTAAAGCGAGCAGCATGGGTTAAGGTTTACTGATTTTAATTTGAACATTAACATGACACAGTTACCACATTCAAACACAGACGGATGGCTGTTTTCTCCTGAGAAAGCCACCACGTCCTTTTTCAGACATTTAGTGAAAAGTGAAGCCTCGACGACTGTACATTTATGACGGCTACTGCCAACCACACTATTCTTCAGACCTGGCTATAAATGGACCCAGTTCTAAGATTAGAACAAACACATCTCAATGACCCAATACTGCAAACAACCCCAGCACTTCAACAAGACCCTGTACCTGATTTTTGCAGCAACATCTGCTCCCTCCTCACATCAATACATAATATTAGCTCAGCATAAGATCCAGAGCTTTTCCGCTTCCAAAGGGGTGAGGGGGGGGGGGGAAGAGGGGGAAAGAGGGAAAGGAAGGTAATTTGTAGAACATATCAGGATGCCCATGCACTAGTCAAGTTTCTGGGTCCATTTTTACCAGTGGCACTGTACTACTATTACCATAGTAATACTTTTTCTTGACACATTAATCAGTAATAAATGCTCTTTGATGATTCAAGAGCTATTAGGGGAGGGCTAGACCCATATTATTTGCCTCTGGCATAAAGGACTAGATGGACATGAAAAGAATATTTTGATCTCAAGTTGAAGGAGCAGTGAGCGAGCTGAACACGGAAACTGCTTCTCAGATCAAACCTTAGAAAAAAAGAAAGTCGCTTTCACTGGGCTTTGGGTTGTTTTTTTTCCTTACAAATTAAAGTTTCCTAATTATGCAGGCTGCAATCAGCAATCTAACAACCAGAGGCAGGTTTTAAGCACAGACTCCCTCATCACAATAAACCTATTTTGGTATTTTTGACAGTATTACCATTGCTTCAGTTGACAAAAAACATTTCTCTCCCATTATTCAGGCCTGGTGTCTTAATTGGATATTTACAATTGCAAAAGTAAATCTAATGTGATTAGGATCACCATTATGCACAACAGACATGCACTTAACTCCATTACTTGATCTTCAAGCATACAAAACACCAAGTATTTAACAACACATTACAAGTACTACAGAAAGGCAAACCTGAGAAAGCTGTCAGGTTTGAAGGACCGAAGCAGAGGAAGTTTAACAGCCTTTTGCTCAAGAAGTTACACAGCCAGTTCTGTGCCTTCAAAACACAAGCTCCTCTCAATAAGGCTTTATAAAACTTTGCTCAAGAGGCAGCAGCAAGAACTTAAACTGAGTCTTAATTATACACAAACCTCCCAAAAGATGCTTCCAGCAGCCTTAGCCGCAAGCACGGTTTTCTGCCTGTACCCTTATGAAGTGCCTTTGAAAGGTTGCGGACAGACCAGGCTTGTGCCTAGGACTGAAATCAACTCCAGTCCTGCTCCTACTCTGTTTCAGTTGTCCTCAAGTAAAATCCCTCCTGGGAGAACATGGACCAACCCTTAATTACCAAGAAAGTAATTAAGAAAAGCAAGCGTATTGTCAGTGGGTTTGAACTCAATATTTAGCAATCAGTACTTTTTCTCTTTAAGAAGTCGTTCAGAGTGTAACAGGCTGAGAACAACTGCACTCCAAGCTTCATGGGAAGAGCAGAATGAGGGATCACAGCCAGCTTTACAGGGGTTGAGAAGTACCTGGGAAAGGCAAAAGCAGACCTAACAAAAGATTGGATTTCAGAAGTGCAATCTAGGCAGGAAAGAAAGAAAGAAGTTGAGCTTGTACAGTTTTCCTCTCTAGTAAAGAAGGTACTTGGAGAGAACAGCCAATCTGAAGAGCAGTGCCAACAATGAACAAAGAAGTTTTTTCATTCTCAATACCCAGGCCCAGCATCATCACCACGGTGCTGGAAAGCAGTTACTGGAGCAGAAGATGGGCAAACACTGTTCGTTCTCACTAGCCAAAGAGACACAGAGTTCTGGCAAGCACTCCACAAACATGCCTCCCTGGGTAGAAAAACCTCAGCAGCAGTCCTGAGCTCCAGGTTGCTTTCCATAACACCACTGCACGGATGGAGACCACCATCCTCACAGCCGGCTAAGACAACAAAAGCATGCCTGCAGCTCAGGCTTTCAGCTTACCCTCCAACCCCTCAACTTGACCCTGCTTGCTTAGAGTTCAAGTTCACATGCCAAGCTGTGAATTTACACAGCAGCAGAGCTGGAAGAGACAAGTGGGAGTAATGGGAATAACTCACCAGAGCATACCAGAAACATTTCCCTGTCTGCCCCAGCACAAAACCAGCATTTCTGAACATCACGACACACAGCATTTAGGGACTTGCACAGGGAAAAGCCAGAGTTGATCACACATAAGCAGTGCCTGAGAAGATTTAACTCTATCTTTTCTGTTGATAATAGAAACTTAAAGCATCTGATAAAAATTTGTTTCCTCCCCTTAACTACAGAACATGCTTTGTAAGAGTTTTCAAGGAGAAAACCATGCCACAAAACTGTGTTTACTGAAGAGTGACAGGAGCAGCTAATCTACAGAGAGATCAGTTTATCTGTGTTTTAACAGTTTGTCCTTAGACACACGCACTTGATTTCTGCCACAAAGGATGAGACCCATCCTTCAAACTTGTCCCCTGCCTTCTTACCTCAGAACATAGAGTCATAGGGATGATCGAAGAAAAGAAAGCTTAAACTAAGCCCTGATAGTGTGGCTTTAATACCCCTACTCCTTGCGAAATTCTAGGGTTTTTTTTTCATAAACCCACCAGGCAAGAAGCTTTCCTCCTACCCCATGTAAATATTTTAATTCCACTGTATAAATTTACCTTAATTCTTACATTGCTTTCCACGTGATCAACATAAAGTATCAAAATGGCAAGATCTGCAAAAATGCTTGGTTTTCATGCTCTGGAATCTGACATTGGGGTTTGATAAACTGAGGTAACGCAGAGTGGGGGGGGAGGGTGGTCCTTAATGAAAAGGATAAATAATGGGGGGGGGGGGAGGTTTGAGAGCCCCATACCCCAAACGTTCCACCCCGGCCGACCAACACTAGAAGCTAAACTCAAGCGCATTACACCGAAGGTAACAATAAACCGTCTTTTCCGTGGAGAACATTCGGGTTAAAAGGAGGAAAAGCACGTTTCGGCGGCATGGGTTTAACTTTCCGACCCGAAACACTTCCACAAGGTGACTTGGGGGCGGGCAGCCCTCAGGAGAGGGGCACGTTTCCAGCCCGCCCCTCTCCTCACAGCAAAGTTCAGTCCGAAATAACCGAGGTGACGGAAAATACCCCAAAATCCCCCCCCCCAGCGACGGCGGGGGGGACCTCGAGCACGCGGGATTTTGGGGGGGGGGTTAGATGGGAGACCCCAGGGACAACAGCACGGAGCACCCCCCTCCCCCACCCCGTCACCTCAGCGCCGGGCGGCGGGAAGCGCCGCCGGACACCCCCAGCGAGGCGGCGGCTCTGAGGGGACGGGACCCCCCTCTGCCTCCCACACGGCTCGGCGAGAGGTAAAAGCGGGCCCCGGGCGCGGTGTGAAGGTCGGTAATACCTTTCTCCTCCCGCCAGATCTTTTTCCGCTTGTTGCCGGGGTACATGGTGGTGTGGCTGGCAGCGGCTTTAAGCTGCAGGTTCCCCAGGCTCACGAGGGGGTGGAGAAGACGCCGCGCCAGAGCCGAGCGCTACCGACGCCGCGCGTCGCTGCCTGATCCCGCGGCTGCTGCTCCCGCCTCAGCTCCGCGCCCGCCGCCCGGCTCCGCACGGCGCCCGTCAGCTGGGTCACGCCTCGCTCTAACCCGACACCCCCGCAGCGCCCGCCTCCCTCCCCGCCGCCCGTTGGCTCCGGCAGACGCCGCTCAGCAGCCCCCTCCTCCGCCCTCCGCCGCCGCACCGGGCCCGGCGGACGCACCGGACAGGAGGAGCCTGAGCGCGGCGGCGGGGCGGACGGCGGCGCTGGGTTGTGTGTGTGTAACAGGGAGGGTGTTGTGGCGGGGACCGGCGGGTGTGGTGGGTGCTTGGGTGCGACAGCGGCCGCTGTGCGCGGTGGCGCGCTCGGTATCCCCGCGGGGCGGGAGCGGGCGGGAGCCCCGCGGACCGGTGCCGCCCGCCACCACCGCCCCCCGCCCCGCCTCCTCGGCGCGGGCGGGCACAGCGCCCTTTGCTTCCGGGTTGCCGGCCGGTACCGAGCGCGCCGCCGATTGGCCGGGAGGGAGGGAGCCGTTGCTAAGCGACGGCGTCATGGGCCGGCGGGGCCGCGGCCTGCGGAACGGGCCTGGCACAACGTGTCCGGTGGCTCCGGGACACGGGGAAACGGCGCCTACGGGCGGTTTACACACGGGAGCTGCGCGGTGAGGTGCCGGCAGCGGGGCTCTGCCGCGGGCACACGCCGAGAGCTCCCCACTCGTCGTGGACCCGCACGGTGAAGGAGCGCAGAGGCCACCTGGGCACCGGCGGTCAAGGAGGCGCCTCTGCCCTCCTCCTCCCCCATCCCGTCTCTTACTGAGGTTCATTTTCTCCTTGTCTAAACAAACACGCAGGCTCCTGTAGACTAAATAATTACGAAGCTCCCCTGCAGCTGTGCGGATCCTCTTGGCTTCACTCATGTCCATGCGGAGGTAAATGCCATGAGAAGGGATTTGGACCTGGAGCGATGAAGGGCTGGGCTGACACAGGACATCTTCATGGCCCTCATCTGCATCATATTGCTCACGAACCAACACAGCTCTACTGAGAAACGGTAGTTCATGGTGGGATGTAGCTGTCTGATTGAAGTGGCATATGAAGGTGTCCACATGCATTCAAGTGCAAAATAAACTCTTTCAGCTAAGAGAGTGTCTTATATGCACACCTTCTGGTCAAGAACAGGCTTTTCTTTGGTGATACGCTCTTTTGCTTAACCAGCAACAAAGGTGAGGCACAATGTCATTTCAACTTCTTTTCTAGTAGTTCCTGATAAACACATTAGCACCTCCACTGTTACCATTCATCTTAGGTCATGGTACAGTAAAATCCTTCCTCTTCTCACACTGATGGGAGGGAGCACTCGGAGTTTATCTTTTAACCACTTAAAAATCAGACTAAGATTCTTCTTTACAAAGCACACTTAAATATTTGTTTTAGATCACCTCCCAAGGGTATGTTACCTTCTATCTCTACTTGATTTCTTCACTTTGCTCAGGTGATGGATGTGCTTCGGTAGCCCAAGCCCAGTTTTCCCATCTTGATGCTGAAAGTGAGAGAGAAGCCAACAGATAAACAGGCATTTAAAAGAAAAAGATCTTAGTTTAAATTCCACTTGCTTCTGTGGTGTGGAGCAAATGTTTGAACCCATATCCCAGATCACTGCACGTTTACCAAGCTACTGAATATTCTAGTGTCCTGTGGGATCTGTTCCACATTTTTTAAATCAATGTTTATTGGACCAGAAGGGGAGAAACAGAAAACTCGCTTCCCATAAAGGGCATCCGCACACATTCTTCAGCTTACATTTGTAAAAGCAGCTACAAGAGCCATAATTTTGGGACAGAAGAAAGTATGTACATAATATAAAAAGCCAACAAAATTGTGATGTCTGATGCTTGCACCAGCACCCATATGGAAGACCAGATAAAAGATGGGAATAAAACTTTTCAACTTAAAAATAGAAACGTTCAAATGTGCCATTTCTAGCAAGAAAATTACTATTACATCTTTTTTTTTCCTCCCTTTTTTCTCCCCCTCAGTTGCTGATGGTACAATTGATTCCACTGAAGCAGTAAGAAATTATGTCCCTGACTTCAGTATGAGTCTGCTTCTTCCACTTGTTGATTCTGGAGGCCTAAAACCAGACAAATGATCGGCAGCATCACACGTGGCAGCAAAATTGATCTAAAAAGCAGCATTTCAGCACCTGGATGAAAACCAATTGTGCTGCAAAATAGTAGATTATTTTTTCCTGAGAAAGCTGCAGTGAGCTGCAAACATGGTAGGGCTAAAGCAATGCTCTGAAGGCTTAGAAATGTTCTGTTGAAACAATGAGCATGAAAATAAGACTGATAGGAAATTGGTATTTGTCTAACGGTCTGGGTGTGTTTAGCACATTCAAAGCTTAGCGAGCACACCGGTGATGTTCTAAAGAGGAGGACAGGAAAACTGGGAAATGTCATAAAATGCCATTTAAGAGCTACATAGCCTGAGCAGGATACTAATAGCTGTAAAATGAGCATTTAACATACAGATAAAGTAATGACTGCATAGATAGTTCCTATTAGAGATATAATAGGAAATGGAAATGAATATGAGTGTGAATACTACACTAAATATGTGAATAAATGTACTAAAGGAGAACTAGATCTTCAGTTCAAGCTGCTCAATCATCCACCCCAGCATTAAGATACCTACACTCAGCATTACAATTGCCACCAACCATCTTGACCCAAATAAAGGCAGTGTCGTGGCAGATCCCACACTGCTCAGCCTATAGCAAAGATGATTTGAGCAGTTTTAGGTCCCCAGAGGAGGCAGGTTGTAGCTGCTGGACAAGCAGTGGCTCCACATGGGTTGGCTGTGGTGTGTGGGATGCACAGCACACCACAACAGATGAGGGAGAGGGTTGGTCTGAGATGCAGATCTTAAAGGAAGGATAAAAATATCAGTCAGTGGAGAGGATGGGAAGGTCAGTTGGCTGTTCCAGACCTTGATAAAGACATCTAAAAAATTCTGTGCAAAAGAGGGACACTTGGATGTGGCAAACTGATGCCACCTTCATGAGCACAGCAGGGCCTGTATTTGCAGACTTTGAACTGAGGGCAGCAAAATTGAGCAATTATGTGAGAAAAGCCTCAGTGTTTAACAAGGAATTTTCTATCTTCTTCATCACAGAAGCAACCTTCAGAAGCTGCTGCCTCATAAACCAATTTAAAATATGCCTGTGAACTGCACTTAACCTGTGAAGTAGGTGTTCATTTCAAAAGTCATGTAACATGAGTTACCTGGAATCAATCTCTACTCCCTTATACTTTGTTTCAGAAGGCACATTTATACACATAATAAAACTCTTGAGTTGCAGTCAGTGCTGTTAAAAAGTATGCTTGCTTCTTTGATTGATTTTGGGAGGTGTTTTGGTCGGCTGGTTGGGTTTTAATAACGTGCAGCAATAATTGTACAACCATGTTTACCTCATTTTTCAGATTTTATACTTTTATAAAGATCTGAATCAATAGTACACAAACTGCAAACAGAATCCAAAGCTAAAGTCAGTTTTCAGTCATTTTAAGGCATGTTTTTATCAAAGGATTTGAGTTTTTCTTCTCCCTTCTTTCTTTTTTTAACTAGAAACTGTCTTGGTTATCCATTGATTTCAAGAGCTTCTTGTACTGCTACAAAGTTAAATGCTGGGGCATGAAAAAAGAAAAAATTACATAAAGAGAAATGAAAATGACAGTTATCAGCCCTTGTCATGTTTACAATGGGAATCAGACCTTTATTTCATCAGTATTTACACTGTTTATTCAGTTTTTCACTGAATATAAAGAAAAAAGGTAAAGATGAAAGATAAAAAAAACCTTAAATGTTTTTGAATTTTTGTAAGATATTATTTTAATTAATTAAAAAAAAACAGATTTAAATTAAGATTATTTCCTCAATTTCTACCTCACTGAAAACAGGCAACAGATCATTATAGATAGCTTCACATGTTAAGAGAAAATTTTTATGTATAGAATCATAGAAATAGTTCAGCTTGGAAAAGGACCTTAAGATCATCCAGTTCCAACTCCCTGCCATGGGCAGGGACACCTCAGACTAAACCATGTCACCCAAGGCTCTGTCCAACCTGGCCTTGAACACCACCAGGGATGGAGTATTCACAGCCTCCCTGGGCAACCCATTCCAGTGCCTCAGCACCCTCACAGTAGAGAACTTCTTCATTATATCTAACCTGAACTTACCCTGTTTCAGTTTAAACCCATTACCCCTTGTCCTATTACTACAGCCCCAGATGAAAAGCCGCTCTCCAGCATCCATATGACTGGTACATGAAGGTATGTTTTTAAATGTGTAATTTCCATAGCCATTAAACAAAATTGATTTATTATCCCAATAACAGAGCAATATAAAAATCTAAAATGAGTTTATAAATGATTTAGTAAAAATTTATTTTAACAGTCATTATTCTTACCAAATATTGCTGTGTTTACACACAGGCGTGTTGACTTTGATTAAATCTTTTGCTGATGCGCACTTCCATTGCTGGACAATGGAGCCCCTGCTCATTAACTATCAAGTCTCTCCTTCTGTCCATTCACATCACATGCTAAAACTGTTCTGAGTTCTTTTGTTACAGCTTCCACAACATCGCTGGTGAAATGTCACTTTTCATTAGCACATTCACTCTCAGATACATTACTGTGCATTTAAAACATAAAATGCACATCATGCATCTTTTATTAGACAGTTGCATCCTACCTTCTGAACTTTCAAGCTATTAGGACACCTGGGTCAAGGTTCTGTTATAAAATGACACCTCATGACAAGTAGAGAGGGAGGTAAGCATTGTATAAACTGTTACCTGTAGTTCCTCTGGTTTGCTGCCTTGGGCAAATGAGCTAGAGAGGAGGCAAGTAACTATGAGCCCCATTTGTCCAACTGGGTGACCGGAGAGAGATGACAGGCAAGATAAGCGTTTCTTAGAGCTTTATGAGTTTAATCCATTTTGTCACAGAAATACATTTTGGTCCATTGAATAATTTGGTGACTAAACTATTCAAATAGAGAGAAAAAGAATGTTTCTGTACTGTTGATATGTTCATTAATATGATTTACTAGAGGTACTATTTCATGAGCAGTCAGATGCATAGTATTTCAGTTTAACCACTAAGGTTATACTTGTATCTAGAAATGGTGATTTTTAATAGTAAAGGAATAAAATAATAAGCATGTAAAACAAATAATTTGAGATAATTGTTCAAATAATCTAATATATACACATTATTAAGTACAACAATAAAGACTTAATTTCTAGTATTTAGATATACACTTGTCTTTATTTGATTTGTTAGAGCATCTCTAACTTAGAAAATAAATTTGCAGATCCTTTGAAGACAGACCTATTTTAAATCAACTGCTCTGGAAAACATTGTTCCATCATAATAGTATCCTAATGTAGTTCAGTCTTGTCATTTCAATGAGTAGAGCACATTTCAACCTTTGCAGAACTCCCAAAATTGAATTACAGATCAGAAGTATCAGGTGTGATTTTGTCTACCATGCAAGACCAACATGTGTTTTAATTATTGCCGTGGCTATTGTTTTGTACCTGAATTCTGCAGTCGGATGTATGCTACTGTTCACACCAGGAGTATCTTATGATCAAAATTCATGTTTGCAAAGCCAAAAGGAGAAGGAACTTTCGACTTTCCAGAAGAACCTCACAGACCTGAATCTTTTACGTAAAGCATTAAAAAAAAAGAAGACAGGAATGTTTAACTTGGGCTCGTGTCTGGGATCAGCATCACATGAAAGGAAGTAAAATACAAAGGTAAAAAAACCTCAGCAGTTGATCCAGGCTGAAACTGTCCTCTGCTCCTGGAACTGTTACTGACTTGGAGAGGACAAGAGGAAGGAAAGGGAAGTGTCCCTCGCATCTTGGAACTGACTCAGCAGAACAGGGACTGGAATGCCTAACCAGCACCCTGGTTGCAGCTAGCAAGGAGTTTGCCACAGGTCAGATGTTCATCGTTGTGATGTGCTCACACAAGACTTTTCAGGCCTCTGCCAGCAGCTACTGGAAACAGAACTACCTTTTAGTTTCAGTCATTCTGTATCAGAACAAACTAAGATGTAGTTCAGAAAGTACTTCATAAAGAGGAAAACTTTTAAGTATGACATCACTTTCCAGTATGCCACCTGGAAATATGGAATTCCTCCTCAGTCTTCAGTGTCCTCAGTGAAGAAATGGAGATTGAAAGAACAAATAGAACGAAACAGTTAAAGTGACATCAATGCAGAAGAACAGAATAAGAAGAAAAAAAGCAGGGTTTAAATCACATACTCAAAGTACATGAAAGTAATTCTGTTGACTTCAGCTGGCACTGCTGAGGTACTATACGACCATTGAGAACTTGACCTTTGCTGGTTGTGTACAACCTTCTTATAATCAAGAGTCACAGCATCAAGTGGCTTTGGAAGGACAGAAGGTAATTAAATGTGATCAGATCTATCAGAGGAAAGCACAAAGATAATCTACAATAGTAGCAGTAGAAATACTTCCTAATTATACAATTCCTTAAACAATTGCTTCTTTCCAGAAAAATGACATTCTGGCCTTAGAAAAGTTGATGTGAGGTGACTATAAGAAGAGGTAAACAGGTACATTTTGTTGGTTTGGTTCTTCCAGTGTCACTGCACACATCTACATCCATGTTTTGATTTGTACTTTAAGGCTGCAAGGGGCAGAAGGCAAGTGATTATTCCAATGTGCTATGCCAAATCCCCAGAATACAACTGATCAACTGGGACTGGTTGGGCTGGGAACTAATTGGTTGCTAAAAACAATAAAAGATGGGAGTACTTTTAAAAGACATCTAACATGCTGACTGCATAAAATTAGGCTGAAATGGCATTATTAAAGAAAGCTTTCAAGTGTCAAAAATGAAAGAAGGTCATATATTCTCCACTGAGGAAAGCTAGATCTCACCAGAGGGGACATCCACTTTCATTATTCTGCTATTTTATCTTCTTTGTCTTTTACAACAACTTTGTAGCCAGACAGGAAAAAAAGAGGAAAAACCATAAAAAAAAACAAACCCAAGCCCTAGGAGATATGGTTGAGAGGTGAAAGAATGAGCACAGAGAGTAAAGGATGGAAGGTTTGGAAAGATAAGTCAAAATTTCACAATTATATATAGTGCAAAGCTAGTACAAAATATTGATGAAAAAAACAGGCTATTTTGGGTGTAAATATCCTACATCTTGCTCTTTTCATTTGAAAAGCTATCACACATCATCAAAATCAGTGGAATTATATCACTATAAACATATGTTTAGTTCACACACAACAAGAAAACTGAATTCATTTTTCAACTCTGCTTTTCCATCTCTACTTTGACTATTTTGTTTGTTTTGGCTTTTTTCCCCTCCAAATGATGCCATCTATTCATGGCTGTTTATTGTCACCATTTCTAATTGATTCTGTCAGTTTAAATACATCAGTTCCCATGCACCTTTTGTAGACTGGAGGCAAATCTTTTATCAAGGCCCATTTCAAGCTACAAAGCACATCTGCTTGTCAGCATTAGTGAGATAGTGCTTGTGACACATATAGAACCATAGCTTGTACAAAACTAAGGAATCACACACTCATCATGGCTGGAGGCCTCACTACAGATCCAGTCCAAAGCTGCACTGAATTCACATCAGGGTGCTCAGGGCTTTTACAAGGTGGGTGCTGAAAACCTCCAGAGATAGCAGAGCTGCAGCCTCTCTGGGCAAGCTGTCCCAGCCTCTGCTCATTTGCTGAAGTTTATCACCATCCTTCTTTGCCCTGGGTTCAGCAGTAGCACTCATTTTCCTTCTTCTTAGTAGCTGGTGCAGTGCTGTGTTTTTGACTTTAGCCTGAAATCCCTTTCTACAAGATGTAAGTGGAGAATCTCATGATCGCTGTTGGAGGGGCCCTGCCTCCAGCCAGGTGAAGGAGAAGGACAATCATATTGGATCCACATGGACTGTGTGGATCAGATGGTCTGGCACATCAGTCCCACAGGAGTATAAGGCTCTAGCAGATACCAGTGCACGTTTTCCTCTAAAGTTTAAAAAATAGCTTAAAGAGTTTCAGTTCAATCGACTGATGCACCACAATACATAAAAGTGTAGGAGCAAATCACCGTTACTCTATGCCTTTCTTGTACTGTGTTCGTTTTGACCATTGCCTTGGACTTCGCACTGAATTACTCAGTGTTTAGGCAAATAACTGTTTGTTTAGGCAAAAAAATCTTTTTACATGTATGAAGTACAACAAGGGAAAAAAGGGGCAGTGTGGAAGGTGTCTTTCAACTTGGCCGAAACAATGGCAAGGTTATTTTGCCTTCTAATTTTACTTCAACTCTCTTGTCTTCTATTGCATTTTATTTGCTTTGCTTAACATTTCACCTTATTTATTGCTCACCTTTGCATTGTTGTAAATACAACACATGCTCCTGCTTCTTTTCTTATAATGCTTCTAGCATTCCAAAAGCATATCTACATTTTCCTTATATTTCTCTTTCATCTTAATGCAATATACCCCATACCCACTTTGCTACTTCCCTCTCAACTAAATTGTTCTAAATTACTTGTTTGGTGCGAGAGGAGAACTGTAATGCAATATAAATAACTGCTTTACCTTTGATCAGCTGGGTATCATAACACTTTAATGATGTTATATCGCTTGGCAGAAATTAGTTCATAATTTGTGAGTACAGGTTTTATAGGAGATTCACACTAATACTCAGCCACAACGCTGGTAATTAAAATGTCCTCCCCATCAATTGTGTTTTATTGCTTTGTGTTACTAAATAGTATGTTACTGTATCATTGACATTATAGTTTATGATGTATTAACAAAGTAGGATAGTTACATCTTAATTCTTAGAAGATGTTTTAACTCTTTCATTTTTTATAGTACTCATTGCTTTTAGCTTTAATATATGTTTACCTTGTTACACTGTTTTTTGTTGCTGGTATATTAATGGCTTTTCCTACTGTGCCCTAATCAGTGCAAATCTTTTTATTAGTAATCCATAACCCATAAGTATTTCTTAATCTGTAGAAATCAGGCTTGGTTTTATTCCCTCTTCTCAAGCTGGTCAACAGCTGGTTTCATGAGCTCTATTCTGCTCATACTGAACCTACCAGGAAACACTCTTCTTATTTTGACTGAGGATGAATTATTTACTGTGGCAACAGAATTTCATTTACTACAGTGAATCCAAAGCTTTTTGTGCTAACAGTATTAAAGAAAAGCAGGAGAAAAACACTCCTGGTGTGAGCTGGGTAGGACTATAATGAGGATCCCAGTGGTCTGGCAGCCTTGTCACCACAGCTCTACAATGCTGTCTTCCTCACAGGCCATCTCCTGGCTGTAGAGTAATGCAGAAGGCATTTGCATTGTATATCCACTTCCATGGTTTATCTCAAGCTTGACAAAGGTCCTGATATCCTCTTTATAGTAAATCCATCAGTGCTTATGTACAAGCAGTACAATTAAGGCTGATACATAGCAAAGTCTCCAAATCATCCATGTGGGGGGAAATGAAGACTTTCTGCCTGCTCATGCATAGCAACCCAAGGAATAAATGGCTGGATAAGCAGTGAAACACCCCTTAGTTTATGTTTCTTCATGTAGGTGGTTATAGCTATGTACTACATGCTGCCTCTTGTTACAGGTTGGAAATGAAGCCCTTTCAAGAAGAGGTCTGTAGTGTGCTCATTACAATTTAATCTCTTATATTTTAATAAGTATCCTACAGGGTTATTAAGTTGTTCGAATTATCACTAAAAAAATGACATTATTAGTTAGCAAATTAAGAAAATTCATCTCCCAAATGCATTCTGTTTGAATAGAAACAAACCAGTTTGATAACAAAATGTACCCTCTTCCTGATAACCTGTTTATTTTCAGCAGCAGAAAGCTTTCAAAAAACTCACAGAAATAGTGTTTCAAAACAAGTAAATGCTTTTCCCAGCATAATTTCTCAAGATGAAGGGCTAGTCCCTTCAACAGTACAAACTGTCATTATACATGGGGACATTATCTCTCAATAAATGTGAAAATTTGTCTTAAATACCATTATTTTTTATTAACACCCAAACTGCATCCACACAGTCAAAGTTTGGAATGCTCCATCGCTGGCAGTGTTCAAGGCCAGGTTGGACAGGGCCTTTAGCACAATGGTCTAGTGTGAGGCATCCCTGCCCATGGCATTGGGGTTGGAACTGGATGAGCTTTAAGGTCCTTTACAACCCAAACCAGTCTGGGATTCTATAATACACAGCAGTCCCATGCATTTGCTGTTTAGAGAACCTTCAGAGCTGGAGCATTAACTTTCAGTGCCTACCTGGGAAGCAGACTCCAGGGGGTTCAAGGCAGGCTGTGGTGGTATCTGGAGCAACCTAAAGCAATGCTGTGGAGGCCAGCAGGAGCTGAGAACCTGGTTTAATTGTCCGCTGGGTGCCATGGCAATGAGGTTGGCCAAGCTTGGCAAAAAAGCAGTGTACACCATTCACATCACTGAGCAGTAATAGGAAGCGAGGGTCAGTCATTGCGTGCATCCCATTTCCTGGATGTGGGTATACTTCAAATAGTGTGATTGATATTTGATTGTATGAACAACATGCAGAAACTTCCAGGGCTGGAAGATTGTTATGACAATAATTCTACAGAGCACGATGTTGAGCCCTGACTTGGAGGGCTATCATTCCATCTGGACATGGAGATAAATCTTGGGGATATAGTAGACAGGAACAAGAGAGAGATCAGATGATAGCCTTGGAGACACACACAGCTGTTACAAATTACTAGAGTAGTGGGAGGCAATTTAAACAAGTCTCCTGAGGGCAGCTTCCACAGAGAAGTTTATATGTGCAGAAGATGCTGCAGAAATAAGCTGATGCACTTAAGAATGCAGCCACCTGTGTTCACGGTTTGGCTGTCCAAACCTGACCACCACAGATGTTGAGGGCCATGTGTTTGCAAGTGACTTGTCACCAGAATAATCAGGAGGTGTCAGGTCTGCACTTCACACAGCAGCAAAGTCCAGCCAATGTGTCATGTACGTCAGGGGGAAACAGGACCATCACTCGGATACATTGCCTGGAACTAGGTGATCTTAAGGTCCTTTCCAACCCTAAACATTCTATGATTCTATGATTAGTCCCCAGGACCCCAGCAATAAATTCAGCAAATAGCCACTACTTCATGGAAATTATCTTCCCTCCAAGCACCACACATCTTACTACAGATGGACTTACTAGTAATTAGATGAGCCACAAATGTCTCTCATCTTCTGCCCATCTTTTTGGTAGCTTGTCACCAGTACATAAGTAGTCAGTGAAATACATTTGAACACAGAGCATCTGAAATGGGTAGAAAAACGAGAGCTGATTTTTAAGTCCTGAGCCTTAAAAACTGTTTCTTACAGTAAGTGTTCTTTCATGCAATAGGTAAAAATTGTGGGGTTTCAGTAAAATTCTCAATATTATGATATAATATCATTATTGTGGTGAAATGCATCATTATTATTGGAGAAATTAAAAAGCAATTAGCTACTATTATATATAATAGCATATAGTATCAGTGTCTTCTACCTTGCTGCTGATAGGAGAAGAAACTGAAAAGTACCTTCAAGACTGATATATCAATTCAAGTTCTTAAACTAGGAATTGGATGGAAATGGAAATTCACCAAATACAGCAAGAGTTGCCCTACAGTGTTTGAGTACGACTACATTTTGCAAAGCAGTCATTAATGTTGGAGCTGCTCATTTTCAGTATCCTAATCAATATCCCTTAGATGTGATTTGTGAAGACACTGCTTATCAAATGAGTTAAGGTGTTAAGCTGTAGCTATGACGTAGTAAGAAATATTTATCAGACATTTGCTTCCAGATGTAATTATTTCAGTAGTAAATTTTGGAAATATTATCCCATTTTATGCCTAAACCCAGTTGCATTTCAATGTTTTTATTTGAAATAAGAAGCTATATCAAAGAATGTTCTTATCAATGAACAGTATTATCATAGGCTGCTCTCCATAAGCTTTTTATTGCTAATCTTTTGCTGCTGGAGACTTCTGTGTATGTTAGACTGAACATTTTTTTTGCTGATGCTTTGCATGTGGAGTAATAAACAGGTTTATCAATACACAATCCACCTGAAACCAGTGTGTACTTATTAAATAATTCAGTTAGTTCCTTGGAGGTTGCTTAAGTTGGACTTGAAAACAGTATTAACTTTTCTGAATAGGTAAACAACATGGGAAACAGAAAGAAGATTTCTGTGTTCATAATGAAGGACTTCTGTAGTTCCTGGAATAGTAACAGCTTTCTGTGTATGAAATACTGTTCGAGTTTTAAACCATGTTTATCATTATAGACTGCCTCCACAAAGGAAGCAAATTACTTCTCTATTTATGACAATCATTTGTTCATCATTTCCCACGTTTAATTTCACCCTAAAAATTCAGTAACATGAAATGTTACCAAAAATATTATTTAAACAAAACAGATGTATACACACCAAAGAAACACCTCAAACATGCCTTCTCAGACCTTAATGATAAAATGCTCCTTCTGACAATCTAATTGGACAACTCAGTGAGTTGCTTGTACGAGGAAAGCAGCTACTGAAACACACACATACAAAGATGAATTAGCAATTCATGTCATAGAGGCAAGTCTCTGCAAAACTTCAGCCTCTTCATGTTGCTCTAGTTGTAAAAATGGGGTAGAAACAGCCTTAGGGAAGAATCCAAGAGTAATGAGGTTAGTTCAAGTAGAGCTGACAGAACAACTCTCTATCAGTCCCCCAACACTAACCCATATATCAAGATGCAGCAGGTAAAATTCAAGATAAAAATTATCATTAAGAACAGCTACAATTTAGATAAACTATGTTCTCTGCTTCTGTTTTTCTAGTTAAACATACAGCTGAAGATAGCACCAGAAGGTATGCACCATAACATTCATAAGAATTTAAAATGCTGGATTAATAGTGGACTTTGAAATACATGACTACATCTCCCTTAGCAGAGCTGTGCAGTGAGTTTTCACAATGTTCCCATTCCTATAATAACAGTAAGACCTTAACTTAAAAACAGTTTCTATGTGAAATACGAAATACCAGAATGCATTTTAGGTCACCCTAGCCATTTGATGGCAATATACATGCTGGGGATACAATGTCACAAGAATAATTAATTGTGACATTGCCAAAGGGACACGACACTTCTCCTGATAAATTCTTTACGTCTTTCCAAAGGGTCACAGTCAGTAATTCAGCTTTAGGCTGGTTTATTGCCTAGAGCAAATATGATTTTAATAGACTTACACAAGCTATGGTAAAGGTGATCTAGAATGATTACATGTTTAAAACGTTCCAGGGAAAATAGAAAAGCTGCTGCGCTTGAATTTCTTCATGCAAATAAAGTCTTACCTGAATATAAATGATGTATATTCTTGAACAAGTCTGCCAAGCTGAAAACAACAAAGCACATTAATATTATCATACCAAGATGAGATATTTTGATCTTAGTTTGATAGAAATAATTTAAAACCTAGATTAAGGACGCCTGCAGAATGCAAATCAGGACTAAGAGAAGGAAATTAAAACCCAGAAAATAGAAATCATAGCAGTAGTTATTTAGGAAAAAAATTAAATTTAAACCCACCCAAAAAAAAAAAGAAAAAAAAATCCAATTTTGGAAACACTGCTGAGTTTTCATTTTATTGGTTTTTTGCTAATTCTCCACTGTCCATCCAGTATAGACAAAATAAGGCTGATACCGAAGTGCTTTTGTTAGTACAACTGACTTTGCTTGATGAACCAAGAACAGCAATTCTTGCCAAAATGTTTTTAGCAATATAACTCTGCCAGCAGACTTTTTCACGTGTAATATCCAGCCTCACGCAAGATCTGTCTTTACCTTTCTTTCTATGCTTAAGTTGCCATCAGCTTCTATTTGCAGTTTCACATTATGCTATTCAAGTGAAATACTGCGGTGATTGCGCAGTGGTATCTACAGGTTTGTAACATTTGCATTAACTCAACTTCTTTGGTATAGCCTAACATAAATATATGTAATATATTGGCTTGCCTAATATAAGTAAACTATATAGAACTGTTAAAATTGGTCTGATGTTAGTCTTGTTGGATTCTCATGGCGTGTTCCTGCATCTGAGCAGGATTAGAGAGAAGTCTGAATAGGTTTCTAGTCCCAAAGGGTAGTGGCTGCAGACAGAAGTGTTTGCTGTCTTTAATAATGGTTGAGTATCATCCATGGTCACAGATACCATTTCAAAAGTGATGTCAAGTTCCAGTTGAAAAAGTAACACCTTGCAAACGAAGGCTAAAATGGGATAAGGAACCACCTGAACGTAACACCTTGCACTCCAAATTCTGATTGAATGATAATGAGGATGCTGAAATTGTGTCTCTTCAAAGAATTACAGGATTTTCCCTTTATAGAAAATACCTTTATAAGAGTTTCTTTCTGGAAGCAAAAATTTGATCAAGAATAGCTCCAAACAATGAGGGGCATTAACAAGATTTGTATCAGCAGTCACGGACAGTATTTTGGTGGGTGGAGGGGGTTGGGGGTGAGAAATGGTATGTCTGTTTTGTTCTTAAATAAGGAAACATCAGCATGCTTTTCAGAAACCACACAAATATTTCAGTAGTTGGCTCATATATAAGAAAATAACTATAGGGAAAACCAGAATTTGGGTTCCCTGGCTTAAGAAACAGCTTCTGCAGGATAAAAGCTGAAGCAAGGTTTTTCTTTTTATAGGACAAATTCCAGCAATGATAAAACAAGGCATGTAGCTACTTTCACTAGATCTGTATTTATCCCTGCGCTGTCAGTAGAGGCTATACTGACATGCAGTGAATGAAACCTGACATGACCTTTCAGATGTGGGTAAGTTCGGTCAGGCTAATGGGATATACAATCAGGCAGACATTGACAATAAAATCTTTGAAGTGATTGTGATGCCCATGGCACTTCCACTGAATGAAACAATGGCTGGAGAGAATTTCAGTGAACTTCTATGTGCTTTAATCAGGAATGTTTCTTCAAAGTACAGAGTGAAGGATGTCACCAAAATGTGGGCAACGTTAGCTTAAGATGCAACAATCATCCCTAAGAAAAGCCAGCTTTCACGCTATGCCTGTCATGCTTGCAAGGACTGATACTAGTCAATGACAGTAAACCAGACCTCAGTTATTCTGTTGTTAAAAATCACCAGCCTAAGAAATTTTAATTCCCAGCCATATGGTGGCTCAAAATAAGATCTCTTCAGCTTTAAGTCAGAGGCTCCTGACAGTACTGAAGAGAAGGTACATGGTGTTTTGAAGAAGAAAATATTTCATAACAAAAGTGATCTTTTAAATATTTTGATACCATATTTAGCAATATTAATAATTGCCGAAGAAATGCTGGACACTACTCCAAAACAAACTCTTGCTCTGAAGTGAGGGTGTTTCACATCATACGTTTAGCTGAGTGGTCAACAGCAAAGTCCTCGAGATCTGCAAACATTAACCACAACTGCCTGGGCTAGAAGCCTGGTTTGCTGACAGTGGACTGGTCTGTGGATGTCAATGGTGGCCATGAGAAGGGGACAGCTTCACCTTAGGGCTTAGAACTGAAGTGGAGAGATGGTAACATTTCACAACACATCACTTAGCAGTAAACTGAGTAGCCCACCTCCTCAGAGAAACACACACCTAATTGTATTTGCATTACATTTGACAGATGTTATACTTGGAAAGAGTCTATCAGATTTATTTACTAATCGAAACACATGCTTTGGTTCTAAGTTTGCAAATGCAAGAAACATGTTAATTCGGGTGAAATAATTGTGATGCATAAATGTAAGCAAATACATCAGTCTGGAAAAGAGCAGGCTTCTGGAATGAGAGCAAATCAAGGGGGAAAAAAGAGGCAAAAAACCCCACAGATGCAAACTTAGTAACAAATGGAAGATGTAAATGCTTACTACAGAACCATTCCTTTTGCTTTTTGTTTGCTGCAGAATCTAAAACAAGTATTAAATATCATTAAGTATATGATTTCACATGCACCACTGGAGTCCTCATAGCTGTTATTACCAAATTCCTAGTGCTAATAAAACAGAACCTTTAAAGTCTTATTGAAGTGTCTTCTGCTAAACAGAGAATGGGCCATTACTCCTGTTTATTAAAAGTCAATACATACAGTGTACATTTTTCTTGCTGATCACATTATTTGCCTGTACCAATTATAACCTATTTTTCTTCAATCTAAGAAGCCCAGATTCCTTCAGCTCATACAATATGTGAATGTGTTTGTGCCATCTCAAAAGCAGAATAGTTCTTAGATGTTTTATTTATGGGATTTCAGTCTTAACAAATGTTGCAAATACAGCTCAGTAGCTCACACAGCAGCATAACAGGACTGTTTAATTCATACCCTATGTATTAAGAATAAAGGTAGAGAACCGAGTGACATTCTATTTCAGCTATTGCTAATGTGAGTGCTGCAAGATATCTAGAAATACATATAAATAGATGTATACCTTACAAATAAAAATGGTTTTGAAAGAAATGGTGCATAATTTATTTTGTTCTCATATCCAGGACACACTGAATGCAATTCAAGGATTAAGAATGTAAGACATAACCTCTCTGCAAGTTAACAGCCTTGGCTGTGCTTGTTTTCCCCACATGCCCTTTGCCTTGTACAAAACACACTGACAGTGTAAGACAATGGAATTGCAAAGCTTTTCTAAAACAGTTGTCTCTAAAAGATCTAAAGCACAATCTTTAACAGTTTCACTTTCTCCTACTTGTTCCATCATGTCCACTCCAGATGTCCCCTATAGATAATTCAGTATTACTGACCAGTTTAATGAGGATTGTCACCATGGAAATCATAGTAAAAGGTCACTTCTGCCTCTCACTTCACATGTATGGTACAAAAATCTTTTATGCATACATCAAAAAGCTAGAAGTTGCAAGTGAAGCATATGTATAAGTGGGAATACCTCTTTGCGTGCAGATCAGGCAGAACTGTGTTCCCCAGTCTCATCTTCCTTACTACAGCTATAAAAGAGAACAATGAATCAGTCAGTAAACAGAAGTGTTACACTTGCGTTCTGCATCCTCACATTTTTGTCTTACAAACGTGACGTGCTTTCCCGGTGCATCATGTTAATCCCACACAGGGGTAGTTTTGATTTCATGCTCTGAGGTATTTCCATATGGCAAAATCTTTGAGCATTTGTTGAAACTTTTAATTGAATGTAGGCCCAATCCATCACTTAATTTGGCATTTGGGAAGGTTATGATTTACTTTAACCTTTCTGTAAAATACAGATTATACACTGTTTCACGATACAAGTGACTCAGTGGGGGAGAGTGTGCAAGTCAGCATATCGAAATGAAGAAAGAGTTACCCTTAAGGAAAATCCATGAAGAGTACTTAAACTTTTACATGTTCTGTGTATTTTAACTGTAAAATCCTGCCCCTCTTCTCTGCTCTCGTGAGACCTCACCTGGAGTATTGTGTGCAGTTCTGGTGTCCTCAGCATAAAAAGGACATGGAACTGTTGGAACAAGTCCAGAGGAGGGCCACAAGGGGGCCTGGAGCACCTCCCATATGAAGACAGGCTGAGAAAGTTGGGGCTGTTCAGCCTGGAGAAGAGAAGCTGCGTGGAATCCTCAGAGCAGCTTCCAGTATCTGAAGGGGGCCTATAGGGATGCTGGGGATGGACTCTTCATTAGGAACTATAGTGACAGGACAAGGGGTAATGGGTTAAAACTTAAACAGGGGAAGTTTAGATTGGATATAAGGAAGAAGTTCTTTCCTGTTAGGGTGGT